ACCCTGCAGGGCCTAAGACACCCTGATTCATCCTGGAAATCAAACTCACTCATAGCTTAAGCTGAAGGAATTAGAGCCACAGATCTGACTTGTTCATAACCACAAAAAGGGGTTTAAAAGGTCAAAAATGCTCCATCCTGTCTAATAAACAATGTGCTCTTAGGGCACAGAGAAATAATAGGACTTTAGGCACTAAAAAGTGACACTTCACCCAGATCCAGCCTGAGTGAAGACCAGAGAGAAAGGGTGTGGGCAAGTTAGAAATCCCCAGCCCTTATTGGGTCCACGTCCTACCCATGTCAGAGCAAGGTGCAGGGTGACCAAGGGGAAACCTTTCAGAACACAAGCGGAGCCTGCAGGTCCACCCCACAGCCCAAGCGCACCAAGCCACCTCACTAGCTCCTCCAGCCCTCCCCGCCTGGCTCTTGGCACAGTGAAGTCCTTATCAGTGGCTTCCTAGGGGGGAGCTGAGATTGGGCTCTTGCTTTGTGTCCCAGAGAACCCTGGGGAAGCTCAGGTAGGGAAGAACAGATTCTGCTTTATTATGGAAACAAACTGCAAGGAGATTAAGGAATGCAGCACCTTAAGCAATGCCCCCATGAGACGTCCTCCAAGACCTGAGGGTCTTCCCAGGCAAAGCTTTGGCTCAGCAACATTTCTGGTCTAGGAGCCAAGAAAGGCCAGCAAGGGAGGGGTGAGGAGCAGAGGATGGGAGGAGGAGGAGGAGGAGGAGGAGGAGGGGCAGGGGTGTCAGTGCCGAGAGCTGCTCCCTGCCCTCCTCAGGCCCTCCACCGAGAGGAAACGCTGCTCCGGCTGGCACAGGGGCGGGAGGTCCCGCTCCTTCTCCCTGGTATGTAGGCATTATCTCTTTTTAAAATCTGTATATAATATATATATTTATATTCTCTATATATATTTATATATATATTTATAGGGTCTATGTACATGTATTGCACCAGCCTCCTGCAGCCTCCTCTGTTCCCGCCTTGTCAGTGATACCGGCTCCGCTTCTCATCACTTTCCGACGTGTAGTCACGGGACCTGATGCCATTCTGAAGATTTATGAGCGAGTCTTTCATCTGTAAGACACGGAGCCCCACCCCAGGCCCAGGTTGTGCTCTCAGTGGGCATCTCGGCACAGTGGCACCTGCTACCCCTGCCGCCGTGGCAGGTTGCAACCATGCCAGTGAGCAAAAGGATGCCAGGGTGGCTCCAGGGGGCACAGCCTCGGGAGGACAGGGACAGCAAAGCCAGCACCTGAAGTGACTCAGGGACGGCTCACTGAGTCGTGGTGACTTGGGACCCTGGTGTGAGTAATTCAGAACTCTACCCATTCAGGTGCCATAAGGAACCACAGAGACTGCACTTACTTGACCCATAAAACCGGTCTGCTTTCCCTTTGGTCCTCAATACGCTGCCTGCCTGGCTTTATGCATTTGTCACCTGCTTTTCTCAGCCTGGGAACCTTCACCGAGGCTCATTCATACCTACCCATCTGTAAAGACCCAGGGCAACTCCTGACTCTCTCTGGCCCTCAGTCTTCTCCCTCCTGGCCTCTCGTCCCTAAATGCTCTGAGCTGCAGTCTTCGTTCTGTGTGTAAAGACTGAGACACCCTAACAGCCAAGATCGCCACACAGACATCTGTGCAGCTTCTCACTGGGACCCTCAGTGACTTCACATTTTTAGGCCATGGAATGCAGTCTAAATGGAACAGTTTCAGTTAGAGAATCAAAAAATGGCCCAACATATCATAGCACACTTAAGTTCTGCCTCTAAGCCACTGTTATAACAGAAGACATTTCCTATAAAGGATTCTCAGGACATCTAATCTAGTCTCTCTCCAGGTTTCCCATATGCCTTTTCATTGCTCTTTTAAAACTTATTTTTAAAGGGAATTAATCGAAACATCTTCAAACTCTTGAAGGGCAGAGCCCTAGTGAGGGACCAGGGCCCTAGTGAGGGGACCCACTTTGACACATGATGCTAGAGCCAGAAAGGATTCTGGGGTATCAGCCCAAAGTGCCCTTCCTTCAATTTGCAAATTTCTTATGATTCTTGAATACTTTTGATGTGAGATTCTCAGTCTTCCAAAGCGGCCTGATTTACGGCTGCACAGCTCTAACCACAAGGCATCTATTCATACTGGCTGGCTTAAATTTTAATTTAATTTCTAGCCCTGACTCAGCCCTCTAGACAGTTGGCCTCGTTGTCTGGAACCACCCTTTTGCTTTGCCCCAGGTCCCCTTTCCCATCAACCTTCTTTATAGGTTTGTTTGTTTGCTTGTTTGCTGTATTTAGTTCAGGGTCTCACTACACAAATTGAACTCAGATTGATCCTGCTGTTTTGCAGCCTCCCAAGCACTGGGATCACAGGCCCGCACCACCACGCCCAGTCTCAATCACTGGCTCAGCACAACGTGGGGCGGGGCCAGCACTGCACACCAGGGATGGAACCCCATCTCATCAACTGTCTTACTATGAGGGCACATTCAAACTCTGCTGTGTGGTTTCCCTTCTTCGGATTGCAAACCAGCCCTCCTTAGGCCAGGCATGGTGGTGCACGCCTATACTGCCAGCACTTGAAACAGCAGGACTGGTATGAGTTGAGGCTGGCCTGGGCTACATGGTGAATTCAAGGCCAGTTTGGACAATAAAGAGACTCTATCTCAAAAAAGCAAATAAACAAAATGCTCCCCTTAAAAGTAGCTCCAAAACCAAACATGATACCTGGTCTCTTGACTTACATTAGACTCTAATTTGCAGGTAAAAACCAAATGATGACGCCTTCAGTGCTGCCTCTTGTCCCATTAGGCTGTGATCACAAGGCGGAAAACTGATACAACGCCCCTCTCCTCAAATAGGTAACCCTAATTTGGGGGTAAAGTCTGGAACTCTCAATTCTTTTGCAAAGGAAAGGAATTTTTCATGGCCATATGGAGTTCTTTTTTAAGTAGAACATCCCATTTTTCTAGAGGAAAAAAGAAAGCTCTCTTCCTCAAGGAAACTGAGCTAATTACGGATTTATACCCAGGGCTATTTGTTTTAAATATGGCTTTTAGAAGAAATAGGAAACTGTACTATAAAACAAAGATATAGTCATCTAGCCAGTGAGTTGCCTTTGAGGGTGACTACAAGAGGGAGGGAGGGAGGGAGGGATCTTATTTTTTATTTCATCTAATCTACAGCCTTTCTGCTGCAAACCCTATGTACTGTCATTGTCTTAGGGAGTGCACCCATGTTTCTATCTGCCCATTCAAAAAGTGACTTTAAAATCAGAGCAAAGGATAGTGCGGGAGAAGAATGTGTGGAAGGAGCCCTTCAGGAGAGGGTGGTGACAGAGACCAGCTTTTCCCCGAGTGCAAGGGGAGCTCTGGCTCCTCAGAACTAGGGGGGCTGAGAGGTCGGGGCAGCCCACCTGGTCGAGCAGCATCACTGAGGACTTGATGATCTCCCTCCACTTCTGGAGCTCGGTATCGTGGTACTTTTGTTGGGACTCTAAGAGCTGGGCCCATTCTGTCTGAGACTGGGGTAACCTGTGGGGCAGAAGAAGGGGCACCCCAGCAGCTGGAGTTATGCTCAGCAGACTGTCCTGTGCTCCCAGACCCCTAAAGGACAGAGAGTCACATCAGAGTGATTTGCCCTCTACCCACTGCCCCTGGGACTCCCACCCCCAAATCAGAAGTGGACGAAAACTATAGGGACAGAGTTTAGGGGCTTGCCTAAGAGCTCATGCGAAGGGCTGTCCCCGGGGAAGGGAGGCAGGGCAGTCCCAGGGGAGGCAGAAGCCAGGTCTCAGCACTTGGTGGGGTATAGGAGGATGTGATACAAGTACAGGGGTGTGGCCAGGATTACCTTTCTTGGAGCCTCAGACCCTGCCAGGCAGTGAGGGTTTGGGTGGTGTACTCCAACATCCAGAGCTTGTAGAAGAGCATCATGTTAAGGATGACCAGCAGCACCAGACTAGGAGAGGCAGGAAAATGCAACAGCGATGAGCTGGAACCTGAGTCAGCGATCTCCCCACCCCACAGGCTGCTGTGCCTGCCCATGGGGCCGTAGGAAGCATGGCAGGAGGGAATGAGTGAGCTGAAGGGAGGAACGGAAGGGCAGAGAGAAAAGCAGCCTCATCTCCCCAAGGGGCCGAGGACACAGCATGAGAGCCATGGAGAGCAGTGTGGGCGAAGGCAACGAGACACAAGGACCCCTGAAAGCCAGGTGCTGGAGCAGAGGAGGGAAGAGGAGAGGAAAAGTGACGGGGTGGGAGTCAGAGCCAGTACCTGAAACAGATCCTAATGGGAGCAAGGAAGAAAATGGGGAGGAGGCAGAGGTTAGAAACAGGCACACAGGAGAGGGGGAATTGTACTTAAACTGAGCCACGGAGCAAGGGCACATGGAGGAAATACTAACAGCGAAGGCCTCAGGAATGAGGACACCTAGCAAGGAAGGAGCGAGAGGAGGTAAAGTGGATTAACTCTTGGGGTTTCATGGAGATTTCTGGGCAACTCGATGCCAGAGGGGAAGACGCGGTGGGATGCCCAGCTCTGCTGGCACCGGCTGCACAGGTGTTGGCAGAACTCCCCTAAGCTAGGCAGGCCCCTCCCTGAGCCTGCCCCTGCCTCTGTCTAACAGGGGTCAGAAGGACCAGCCAAGGCTGCCCAGAGCCTGAGTCACAGTGGACTGGAGGTGGAAGAACAAGGAGGGATCAGGGGCTGGAGGGCCCCATGGGGTATGCAGGATACAGAGGAGGTCGGGGATGGAGACATAAAATGAGGGCAAAGAGGGGGCCCACAGGCACAGCACTGCCACAAAGCGGGGCTCGCAGCTTCATTTCTTAACTTCTGATCAAGTTTCCTAGCTCCTCTGAAGCCCAGTCTTCTCTGTAAGGACAGAGCCCCTCCCCTACTGAGGTTGGTCTGCAGATGAGGAAGGACAGATGTGAAACACTCTAGTGCAGAGCAGGGCAGCCACAGAGCAGAGGGAGAGAGACACAGAGGAAGGAGAGAGACACAGAGGAAGGAAGAAGATGCTGGAAGCAGGGAGGTGACACAAACAGGTGGAAGAAGAGGAGACAAGTTGAGGGGAAGACAGGTTTTGCTGAGCCTTAGACTTTTCACGCTGTATGCATGAGAATGGATTTTTGGTTCATATTTCTGGTTCTGTGGAAGGAAGTCTTGCTTCAGCCGGCAGGTGCAAACCTCTGGGACTTCTCTGTGTTCTCCCTGTGCACATCCCTGAAGTTTGTGTTCAGTTTCAGTGATACTGTCCTGAGCCATATCCCCATGCAGCGGATTATCTGAGTGCCCACCTGTTTGGCACATGGTGCTGGCATCTGGGTTCATGTTCACAACCCTGCCTGTGCTGGGAAAGGGCCAAGGACACCCCTGGGTGCTGTGACAGAAGAGTCAGACAGAAAAGAGAGGTGGGAGGTTGAGTCACCACCCTGCAGGTGGATGGTGGTAAGAGGCTGCTAGACACTGGCCAAACCGTGTGGTGCCCACTGCTGGCACAGCCTGGGTCTCCTGGGCTGAGCTGGAAGGCTTGCTTAGCCTCAACTCACAAAGCCTCAAGCTTGGCCGACACTGTGCTTCAAAATTCTCTTAAGTCAAAATACAGAGAGCTTCAACACAGAACTGACCAAAATCCAATGCCAGATACAGTTGTAACATAACAATACCATGAATCACATCGAATTGCTGTTACACAATGTAAGTCTTGCTGATTTTATAGCTGTCTTTGTACTAATTAATGTTGTAATACTGTAATATCTTGATTTCTAATGCTGTAGTAAGCAAAAATTTGAACCTCCTTTTAGCTGACGCTTCAACTAAAGTTAGTAAGATTTCTCTCGTTCCCCTGAGGATTTTCTCCTCTAAGGAGTCCCCAGGGTCCTCGTGGCCTCACCCGTCACGCTGTATGCTAGTCCATTCACACCATGGCTGCAGCACTGTGAATGATTAGCCTGGCTTCTAAGTGACAGGTCCACAGCAACAAATTCCTGTCACCTCCCCCTGCCCAACCCGCAGCATCTCAGGCACTCCCAGGGCGGATGGTGTCACCTCTCACAGCTTCCCACCAAAGCCCACGTTTCTGTTAATGACAAGTGCCCAAGGACCTCAGACCAGAAGCTCAGCTTCCTCTGTGGCATAATCAATAATGGCTCATGAGTCTTCCCCTTCTGGGACCTCCCAGTTCCATTCCCTCCCTCAGCCTGAAAGCCACCCCCACCGGGCCCACTGCACTTGGCTCTGATGGCCCTCCCTGCACCCAGTCTTTCTTCCTCCAATCCATCTGCAATACTGTCATAACGTAAGTCTGACTGTGTCACTTGTAGGCTTCCTCCAGGGTTTCCAGAGGGTAAGGCCCTGGCTCTGCCTCTATGCAAAAGCTTCAGGGAGGCTACAGAGCTAAAATAGGGCCCAAGTGGAGAAAGCCTGATGCCTGCTATGCAGCAGGGAGTCCGAATCTGGGCAGCTACTGTGCCTGCCAGTCACCTATGCCAGCCCCATCCAAGGAAGGGTGGCATGTCAGGCAGTGGGTGGAACCAAGTGGAGGAGCTGTTCTTAGCTGTCCTAGCTGCTGCCTACTCAATATGGTTTACAAAAGCTGTGGGCAAACACTGGCATGGACTTCTACATCAGAGAACTAGCTGTGACCTCCTATCCTACATCTTCACTTCTTTCAACTTCTCTGGTAATAGCTTGGCAATGTTTTATGCAAATTATTGAGTCTATGGTTTTATAATGCTGTAGAGTGACATATATCATTAAAAGGGTCTACATGTCCTGTCCTGAAGTCATCAGTGTTATCTAGTGACCCTGCCCGAGTTGGGCTCCAAGTATTCATGGTTTTAGGACCTGGCTCTGAACAAATACCCAATGTGTCTACTGCACATGAAGACTCCTAAAATGCTCTGTGGTATCTCTGTGTTAATGGTATCTACCCTACTGTGTAGGAATTGTGAACATCCTTTGGGTCTCAGCCAGCTGATATTGAGTTCCTAAAGGGTGTGGATGTGTACAGCATTTTTTTTTCCCTCAAAGCCAGCAATACCATGAATCCTAAATGAAACAGAGAAAAGAAGAGGTAAGAAATGACAGACAGCAATGGATTCAGACAGAAATAGTGGACCAAAAACCAAACCAAAGGAAAACAAAACAAAGAAATGGAGAGAGGCATGTAAAGGAGCTCTCCCGCATACTTCGAGGTTTGGGGAACGATTTTCCTGCACCAGACAGGAAAGGGAAGGTATTGCGGTGGGGGTGGACTGAGAGACCAGAGTTCCTTACACACAGCTGATAACCAGCAGCAGCCTGGACACACTCTGCAGGTGGAAACCGTTCGGAGTGTCCTCAGGGATATGCCTCGTCTGTGTGGAACCTGCTGGGGGAATAAGCACGTCACTGGCATGGCCCGAAAGCGCACTAACTGCCGACGCTGCTCAAGCAGCAACGCTATGGTCACCCCTCCCGGCCCTGCTACAGGAGCAGACAAACCCCAAGCAGAAAGGTCTTGGCAGACTCAGGTAATCAGGGAACAAATGAGCAACTCAACAGACCTGAGCAGCTAGAGTGTACAGGTAGAGGACAGCGAGCTTCGCTGAAGGGGAAGGATTCCAGGGCTAGGACTAGAGGCAGCCACATAATGTGCAGCGAGTCACAAAACCTCTCTGAGAATCAGTTTGCTTAAACGCAACAGGAGTCAGACACTGCACGGGGAATTAACGGGGGTGCTCTGGTGGAGCCAGGAGGCAGGACACAGAGGCCTGTGGACCCGCCCCTTCATCCGCCTCCTCCCTGTCCCCATGAGCACTGTGCAGGTGACAGTTTGTAAGGTAGGGATTTGCCAACCTCTAGGCCCCTCCCAGCCCCAGAATTTCATGGCTGGATGTGGCTGGGTGGGAAGAAGAAGAAAGACCCCTCCTGGGCTCATGGTGGCCAAGGAACCAGGCGTTGCTTCAGACTCCCTGATCTTTGGGTTATAGATTAATCGCTGGGATGTGAGTTTTAGCTTCACCTTAGCGTCACTTCCCTAGAACATGGATGCTGTGTACAGGAGATGGCGCAGGTAGCACAGAGCTTAGGCAACAGAAACCCAAAGAAATTTTGGTTAAGCAAAATATGTACAGGCTCAGAAACAGCTGAGGAACTTAAAGGGCAAAGGGAAATAGACAGAAGGCCAGGAATGTCATGTTTAGTAAGTTACGTATTCCCCGGCACGGGGCACACGACTCCAGGCAGACCACAGCCCCAATCCATACCCCCATCTCCACCTGGAACACACCTGCCACGTGTTTGATTCGGTGGCCCACATCTTCATCGGTGGGGGTGGTGACCGGGCTCATCACCTCCTCCAGGTGAGGCACCCGCAGGTGGGCATGGGGCCGCTTTCTCCTCCGCACCGTGGGAGGCTTGCTGGCCTTCTCCTTGGGAGACTGCCGGTGCATCTCAGCCAGGTACGTGCTCTCCGTCTTGGTGAGCTCACTCTCTGTCAGAGACAAAGGGTCACAAGGGGGGCCACCTTCCCATACCTTCCACCCAAAGCATGGCCTCTGGCAGTTCTACAGGAACAATTTTTCTGTTCTGTACTCTCAGAAGCTGGCCGGCTGGGTAGATGACCCTTATAGGAAGTCATTCTGGAGCCCTACTTTAACCCCTCCTCTGGGGGTCAAAATTGTATAGTCATGTGTTCCAGTACCTGCACATCTGTATTAGATACAGACACAGATTTGAGGATTCACATGCTCTCTAAATAGATGCATTCACAAGTGAAACACAGATAGATACCTCTCAAAAAATTAGCACTGTCACAAGTATCATTAAAGGTTCACGGGGTGGGTGTCACACACACACCTTAATTATCTCATAAGGCTGTAGACAGTCTTTTGAAAAATGCATAGATCCACATACACATTAAATCGTCCACTTTGGGGGCAGACTTAGGGACCCTACCAAGTCACTTCCTTGTCTCTGTCTCTCCCTTTCTGGTCCTTCCCGCACACCCCTGCATGACAGCTATACAGGCTACACTGATTCTGCAGCTGAATGGGCCGTAAATGACTTTGGCACTCACCTAAATGGCGGAAGTAGTCCTCCAGCCCGCTCCAGAAGTTCTTCTCAATGAACGTTTTCACTAACCCCCAGGGCTGTTTCCGATAGCGCAGCTCGGTGGAGACCCTAAAGAACGAGCCGGAAAAAAAGGCCATTATTTCCTAGCAGACCCACCACTGCTGGGAAACAGGAAGTTCACATTTATCTCCAAGGCAGTCTTGTGTTTGGATTGGATTTGGGACGTCCAAAATTCCTTTCACCTCTGTCATATCATCTTCTCTCCCTGACCAGAGGAGGCAGCTAGCTTTGTTCTCATTTTATAGTGGGGAAGACAAAGGTTCTGAATATTTGGGCAGGCCAGAGGCTAACAAGGGCTTCTGACGCCAAGCCTAGGATTCTTTCACAATCCCACACTGCCTCTACCCAGGGGCCCCTGATGGTGTCAGGCTGCTCACCATATAGACAAGAAAAGGCTCGGCCTTGCAGTGGAGCCCTTTACATCCCAGTCAATCTCTGGGGTCTCATCACTCTCACTTGGAAGAATATCCCCTGTCCCAGGCCTGGCTTCTGCCTCTCTGCTGCACACAGAGCCTGACAGCCCTGCCTTTCCCCCACACATTCTCCCGCCACTAGGCCTATGCTGTCCTACCTCTTGCAGTGTGGGCTTCCTCCCTACCTGTATAGCAGCTGTGCTCTTTGCTTCCTCCTCAGGTGAGTGTGTGTGCACCAAGAGGCCCTTCCGGCTCATGCTCCCTGTGCACAAGGCTGTCTGCCCTGCCTGGCCCATCCTCAGGGATGCTACCTCTTCTGAGGCCCGATGGGGGAAAACCCACACTCCAAGCCACCTGGCTTCATACCCAACACCTGTTCAGTGGCTGGAGATGGCACATCCCTGTGGAGTTCTAGCCAAGGTCCACCAGCTAGTTTGAGTGACCTGCACAGGGAGACGCTCACTGGGAAGATCCTTTGAAGGAGTATGGAGTCAAGAAACATAAGCACAGTGGGGGTGGGGAGGCAAATGAGGGATGTGAGAGGAGAGAGCGAAAACAAGAAGGAAGGAGGAAGAGAAGCATGAGGGAAGGGAAGGTTATGAGGATCAGGAAGCAGTACAAAGCGCTCACTCCCAAGGAAACACAAACAAACACTAAGAGGATGAGAAAGAGGCCGGCTCTTCCTCAGGTTCAGGTATTAAGCTCCTCTTGACAGCTACAAGAGCTCTGTGTAACTCTTCACTTAACTTCTACTTTATTTGAATTACATAAGTGCGTTTCTTGCTCCTTACAGTGGGAAGAACTCGGCCTATAATACAGACAAACGATGTGATGGTCTTCAAGTGGGTATGTGCCTTGAGTTCCCAGTTAGACCGCAGGCTTCTGAAAACATTGGGGTCCGCACTGCTTCCTTCCCATGACTGTGCACTGGCATCAAGAACTGAAAGTCCACCCTCACAACACTGTGTGGGCTCTGATGGGAAAAGGCTCCATGGCAAGAGCACCCAACAACGTGCTGGGGTGGCGGTGGGGGGACTCCTGCCAGGAGGGCAAATGGGAACGCACAGCGCACTCAGCATGGCGGGGGAGAGAGAGCCTAGCTTCTGTCTACTTCTAAGAACTGAGGGTCGGCACTGGCTGGGGTGTGACTCTGTGCAGTGACTGATCTGAAAACTAATGATAAATCTACCTCCTGTGGTCATTCTAAAGGTTCTAGTGAATCTAGAGGACCCACCTAGACAGTACTGAATAAATCACAGACAACTAATAAGAACAGGAGTGATAAAGGCCTTCTAAGAGGTGCGCAGAACAGTGATGGGAACACATCATAGGGAGGAAAAGGAATGAACTGTCAGGACAGGGAAGTGCAGAGCTCGGAAGGCTTTTGTGAGAAGATGAATCGAGAATCTGCAGGCAAATTCCCAAGCTCCCTCTCTGTCATGAGCAAAGGGACATTAACGGGAAGACCCCAAATGAAGCCCTGAACCCTCGAAACCCCGCACCTGAGTCGACTCTTGTTGCGGGCCACGCGGGTGAGTGTGTAACGGTTGACAGTGTAGAAGTAGTCGTGGTAGGGCACATCATGGGTGAGAACTTCCGCATCGATCACATAGCACTCACTCTCCTGGCTCGCCTTGTACATGGTCTGAGGGAGGGAAAGCCTAATGGCTGAAACTGAAGCGAAGCAAGCACCCGCCCGCATTCCCCCTCCCTACCCCAGAACTCCTGAAGGGAAGACACACAACCACTGGAGATAGAAAGGTTCTTGCACCCAGAGACATCTTCTGACCACTCCGTCTCTGTCCTTCACACCAGAACTTCTCAGCCCACTCTGAGCCACCTTGGACCGCTTTGTGCTCACCTGCGTCTCCCTGACGGTGGCAGTTTTGGGAGCCAGAGGATTGGTAAGGGTGATGGTATACAGAATCACCCGGCTCTGGTTTCCATTCTCCTCCTTCTTCCACGGATGGAAGATGATATCTGAGGGCAGACAGGAGCAATGGTGTGATGGAGAGGAAGTAGCACCAAGCCCTGCATCTGTGTCCCCTTCCAACGAACTTCTCTTTCTGTGCTGTCTACAGACAGCAGCCCCCACCCCAGGAAGCCAATAGGAGCCCAGGGTGCAGGAGAAGAGGGTGGGAGGAGAGGGAGTCAGAGCAGAAAGAGGTTCATTGTAGCATTGCCGAAATTCTACACGACTCTCCAGAATGCTGACTGCTCCCAGGCCAGGGCAGAAGGTCCTGAGGCCACCTACGGGGGTGCTGGCAACACTGGAGTTACTGTGCAGGGGCCCTGGGTCCCTTGGGAAAAAGTTCTTTGCTCTAGGGGATGACCTCCCCCTGTCCTTACTATGTCCTCTCCCAGCAGATGGGCTCACTGCTGCCCCAGTGTTTTTTTCTAGTTCTGCTGGGCAAGCACTGTGTCTCTGCTGGTGGAGAACTGGGGTGTGGGAAGAAGTCAGGACTATGGGTCCTAAGGACGAAGCTTCGCTCAGTCCCTTCTCAACCCCACTGCTCAATCCCTGGGTTTCAGCTTCCTGAGGCATCAGCGCTGGGCACCCCAGGACCTGCCTGCAGGCAGCTGTGAGGACTGAGTGAGATGACATCATATGCCTTCAGCACCTTGCAGTGAGTGGGAGCTGCTGCCCGGACTGGACAGTGAGCCCTGTAAGGGCAGAGGCCAGGGAGGTCTTGGTCACTGCTGAGCCTGTGGTGCCAGTGACAGAGGCCATGAATAAAGATGCTGCACTAGGGGAAAAGAGGGACAGATAGCCAAGAAAGTCCCACACCAGGCAAGGCTGAAAAGAAGGCATCGGGACCACTAAGTGCTCTGGAAGAAAAAACTGCATGGGAAGAGGAGGAGAGGAAGGAGAAAGGTGAAAGGGCAGACAGTCAGGAAGGGCCCAGTCCTGAAGAACAGACCAGAGAAGCGCCGCTGCTCCATGAAGTCCCGCAGGAAGGGCGAGGTGGTGAACAGCAGGTCGTAGAGTTTGTCCACGCTGAAGTTAAAGACCTCATTCATGTACTGCCGGCCACTCAGATCCTCATAAAAGGCCTGCACCTCCCCTGCACAGAAGATGGGAAGAGGAAGTCAGTGGTGAAGGAGGAGTTCAGGAGGCTCCAGAGCACTGATGTCCTGGTAGCCAGGGGTCCCCCAGACCAAGGTTGGGGTAGCTGGAGCTCCTGGTCCCCACCATTTATGACTCTTCTTCTCTCACTTACTTTCCTGCAGTGGAAATCCAGGCCATTTCCTCTAGCAGGCACTGTCCATTCATTCTTTACAAACAGTTTGGGAATGTACTGCAGCTTAATGCATTACAGAAGCAGTAAGAAATGAATCCTTAGGTGATTGCACTTTGGTGTGAACATTGAGTCTACTTACATGAACGAAGGTGCTCCCACATCACTAGGCATTACAATCTTATGCAAATGCTCTTGTACATGCAGCCAGTATTACTATGGGGTACAGGACTACATTTGTTTCTACACTTTCAAATCTCCTGAATTAAGCTGATTGCTGCCTAAACTTCAAACAAATGACTAGTTGCTGAGGCTGCCTGCACCTCAAAGGACACAAAGTGCATCCAGGAGCTGCCAATTAATCTGGAATGACCTAATACTGGGCTGGCCCGAAGAGCTGTAATTCTTAACCATCTCAGACAGCCTGTAGGTCCCATAACTTATTATTTATTTATTTTTTGCGGAACCGGGGATTGAACTCAGGCCCTTGTGCTTGCCAGGGAAGTACTTATTCCACTGAGCCATCTCCCCAGCCCCAGTCCCATAATTTCAATGCCACTCCTTAGAAATAAAACTTTTGGTTACAGTTTTATTACAGCAAAAGAATATAAATCAGAATGAGCCAGAGAGAAAGACCCATGGAGCAAGGTCCAGAGGTTTCCAAAGCAAAGCATCCTACATAGTGTGGGCTGCCACACCTGCCTGGCACAAAAATAATCTGATACCATGAGAAGCATTGCTAATCAGAGCATCTCACCCATAATTTCCAGAACTTTCTTTCTGCTAAAGGAGAAAGCGTCTGAGGGCACAGGGGAGCTGCTGGGTCTTAGTGCTCCTTCCAAGCTCCAAGTGCTGTACAGTATGGAATGACTGCCACTTGCAAGGGCTGGGATGTCACCTCACACAGGAAGGAGGCTATTTCTGGCTCCTCTAGGATCCAGAAGTATGTCATACAGAGATAATGCCTGTAAGTGCACAAATCGGGCACTGTACAAACACAGTGGCGGATGTTCATGTCTCAGTTTAGGTAAATAACGATCCTGATAACAGGCAGCACCCAAGGTGCAGTTATTTGTACCAGTCCTGGATCCTAGATGGGTGGGCAACCCAACCAAGGGCTAAAATCCACTATGGGTGTCCTCGAAGAGAGACTTCAATAAATGGTTGTGTCTATGCCTACACGCCAGAAAGAACCAATCACCAATTCAGTGGGAAAACCACCAACTACTTTCATGAATACTGAGACTTTGGTTTCCATCCATGGAATATAAGCAGCAGCAGGTTCCTGAGTGAGCCCCGGAAGGTAACACTGTGCAAGACTGAAGGATGGAGTCTCTACTTTAGTAGACAGAAAGGGAGTCTCCAAGGCCCATCTCACTTAGGAACCCCTTTCTCTCTATTCCAGGCTAGAGTCACTAACAAATTTTACAGTCATCTTAAGGGAGTTTCTCTTAAAATCCATCTCCAAAGAGCAGCTGACAGATGCCTTTTCTGGTGGCATGAAACACTGCCTGTACTGTGTGTCTGAGAGGGACAGAGACACGAGGTAAGCCAGTGTCCACAGGAGGGTACATTTTATGGCAAGTGCAGATGGCAGGACAAAGTAGTATTGATTGATCAAGGAGAGACAAACGTAAAATGATAAGGGTCTTGCAGTGTATACTAGAAAAGGGGATGCATACCAATCACAAATGTACCTTTTTAAACAAGCACTGATACCTACCTCTCCACCAGGAACCTATGTCCTGACTCCAGCCTCACCCAGAGACTTGTTTTAAGCCTTCACAATGAGAGGGGAAAGGATGCTCTGGACCCATATCCAAGTGCTCACCTTCATCGTGGGTGTCTGAAGAGTCACTGAGCTCAGTGGGAATGTCCTCATTGTCATTGAAGTCCAAGGAAGGGGAGTTCACAGGCGGGATGATCTCTATCTTCTCGCCTATGATGTTGTCAATGGCAAGCTCCTTCTCCAAGGATCCATCGCCCTCCAGCACCTCTTCCTCCAGAGGCAGGCCATCGAACTGCAGGGGATATTGAGGCATCACCTACCCAGAGCCTGCTGGTTGGATCTACTTGCCAAAGGGAGGCTGGCATGTGGGCCCTTGCAAGAGCACATTCCTAGCACAGCTGTTCAGGAATCAGCCAACTGGCACATTGAGACCACAGGTGGACAGAGGTGGCATTGCCAGGTCCAGGTCCTGCCTGGGCCACACCTCCACCAGGCTATGACACCATAAGCCTGCCTCAGCTAGGCACGGTGGTGGCTACCTGTAATTGCAGCATTTGGGAGGCTAAGGCAGGAGGATCACTACAAGTTCCAGGCCAACCTTGGCTCACAAAGCGAGGTCAAGGCCAGCCTGAACTGCATAATGAGACCCTGCCTCAAAACAAACAAAAAAATCAGCCTGCCTCTTGGTAATACCACCTCTTCTATGAAACTCAGAAGGTGTCATAGAAGGTGTTTTTCTGAATCCATTCCCCCTTCAGTGCTGGAAAACAATCAATATGGTCCTTTGCATTTTAAAGACAGCCTCAGAAACAAGAAATGAGAACTAGCCATTGAATGATGTCCTCACTCTATGGCCAAGTGGCCTGTCCTCAGCCCCTGCACACAAGACTCCCATTTCTGAGAGTCCTTTGCTGTGAAACCCCACTCCTTCTATCTGCTAGCCATAACCTCTCTTTCTTCATCAAGGTTCTACCTTCTCTATAAGAATGTCCAGGCTGGAGAAATAGCTCAGAGGTCTAAGCGCCTGCCTGGTAAGCACAAGGACCTGGGTTTGATCCCCAGTACTGCATGCCATGTGCCTAGCCCTGAAACTCTGGGCACAATGCGCCAGTCACCAAGAATAGGCATGCTAGTGCACACCTGTAATCACAGCACTGGAGAGGCTAAGACAGGAGGATCACTTTAAGTCCGAGCTGCGTGAGAAGACCCTGTACCAAATAAATAAATAAATAAGAATGTTCCCAAGGATAGAGCTCCTCTTAAATACTCTCGTAGCCTCCATAAAGTCCAGCACAGTAGAGAAACAAGCCAAAAAGGCCCTCAGGAAATAATAATCAAATAGGTGCACAAAAATTGAATTTCTCTGTAATATAACAATCATTGTGAATTTTTTAAAAAACGAACTGCTCTACAGTTTTCTATTCATGCATGCCTTTGGTTATGGTGTATGTCTAGGTGTCCCTCAAGTACTCCTAAGCAGGACTTTAGGAAGATGATCCGAATATGGAGACTTAGGACTTGCTGCGGGGAGATGGGGCCTGGATGCAATCACTGAGGGCCCGGCCCAGAAGGGCATGTGCACCTCCCTTTCTGGTTCTCCTCCCTCACACCTCTGGACACCAAGATGCTACTCCACCATGGCCCTCTCTCTGCCACGCTGTCACCTTAGAGCCACCAGGCTGTGGACTGAAACCTGCACAAACTGTGAGCCAAAAGAATCCTCTCCTTTTTGAATCTGTAGGTGTTGAGTGTTATTTCCTATTGACAAGGAAAGGAACTAAGATACTCTGGTTTCAGATTAAGGCAGTGGGGAGAAAGAAAAAAGACCTAGAAAAGTTCTTCTCCAGAGACTCATCTGGAGCAAGATTTAAGAACTACGCCACAGCTACTGCATGCAAGATCCAGATGCATGCAGTAGCTGCGGCATAGTCTTAATGTTCCTGAAACTTAAGCCCATCACAGAACCCAGGCATTAAGGGTCCAGCTCTGGACCGAGTGATCACACCGTGGGAATACGAAGTCAAGCATTCCAGGACAGTGCCTCCCATACACCGACCACAAAGAACACGCACCCCTCTCTCTGCTCCCCGGCTGGGTGCCTGCGGAGGTCACTAAGCTGGGTCAGGGCAGCGCCCTGGGCTTACTGTTTGTACCGAGACAGGGGCTTCACTGCTTCCCGTGGAGGTCAGGGTGCTGTTGGTGATGGATTTCTTGGGCAGCTGTGGGCTGGCATCTGGCTTGGTCTCTATGCTGCTTTTAGACGAGCTATCATTCACTTCATTCTCTTCTACAGGGATCTCCTCACAGTAGCTGGAGAAGACACCAGAAGCCCAGGTTAGTCTCAGTTGTCAAAACTGTCAGCTAGTCCAAGAACCTGTGCATTCATCCAAAACTACGGGCTTTCCATTCCTTTCCTTTCCTCCTCTTCTCCTTCTCTCCTTCCCTCCTTCCTTCCTCTTTTCTTGCCTGCTCACTTGCTTGCTTTGCTCTCCTGTACACAATCTTCCTCTAATCAGAAATCTGTCCCTTGGGGCCAGGGAGATGGCTCAGTGGAATAAGCACTTCCCTGGCAAGCGCAAGGGTCTGAGTTCAATCTCCGGTTCCGCAAAAGAAAAAGAAAGAAAGAAAGAAAGGAAAAAAAAAAAAAAGAAAAAGAAAAAAAAAGAAATCTGTCCCTTATTGCTTTCCTGACCTCTCACTTCCACCTCTTTCTCCACCCATGGAAAATTTCTGGTTCTAAACTCACAATTTCTAGGTACCCTCTTTAGATTTACTCCTACCTAAAAAATAAATAAAAATATGACCATTATTCATCTGACCCTATTTCCTCCCAGACGATCCATCCCATCTTGGTCATTTGAATCAAATATCTGGGATCTGAGCATACATTTCAGTTTCCAAATGCTGAGCAAAATGGAACTCTGGATCTACATACTTGCTAGGTGGTACTGCCCAAACTCTGGATCCTAATAAACTTCTTTGCACTGTCCACCTAAGAGGAAAATCTCCTTATAATGAAAGTCGCTGGTCTTCTAGGGGACACACCGGGGTCCTACTGCAGCCTTCCCTCAACAAACAACTGTCACCTTTGCAGCCACCATTGGCATCAGCACCTGACTTTTACTTTCTACACTATCCGGAGGTACAACAAATCTAGGGAAATCCCTCAATGCATTTTAGAGACAGTCATATAAGTGTTCACAGAAGTTAGGTAATGCCACTATTGTCACTGTTCCACACCAATGTCTGTCACCAAGCCAGGGCCTCAGTACACACTCCATGCTCTCTCCTTGCCTTCTGTTCTTCCAGCCTTTCTCACAATCACCCAGCCTCTTCCTACTCCTCACTCCCAAGCATCCTTTGCCTGTGAGTACCAATCCCATCCTCCTTCCCCTCCACCATGCAATCCATGTGGCTCTCTTCTCCCTAACTCCTGCTCCTCCTCCCCCAGACAGTAGTCTTTCCAGGCCTCTGCTCTGCTTCTTCCCCTTGCTGTGTCCCCCTAGCCCCAGTCCTTGAACTTCCTTTCGTGTTCATTGAGTCACTTGGAGGTTTCAGCCAACCTCACAGCTATCGATGAGTAGCTCCCACGCTTTGGGCCCCAGCCCAGATGTCTGTATGAACTCCACACTCATTCCAAAGTGACTACTGGAGTCTTCCCAGTCTCCACTTGCTTAAAATCAGCCTCCTAATCTTCTGCCCACAATTGTCCTGCACAGAGTGCTGTCCATCTCAGTTTGGGACAATTCTATCCTTCCAGATGGTAAATCCAGAGTACCACCTTTGGTTCTTTTCAGATCTATCAGCATAGCCTTCAAAAAATATTCAGGAAAATATATGAGTTAACTGCTATTTCTGCTGCTATCTTCCTGGTCTAAACCACCACCACCCTCACCTAAGTTATCTAAATTATTCAGCAGCCTCTTAACGTGTCTCTCTACTGCCCTTGTTCCCCCTTCAGTGTGTTCCAAACACAGGGCAGAGTAATCCTGTTAAAATACTAAGTGAGGTCTTATCTGTGATCTGCTCCAAGCTCATCATCAGGTTGGCCAAGGCCTGTGCCACTTGGCTTCCCTGACCTCATCTCCAGCCATGCTGCCCTCTGTTCTGAAGCCATGCAGGTCCTAGGCGTCCCCACACTCTCTCTTCGGGGCGGGGCCTGCCTAGATGCCACCTTCCCTCCCAGACCTTCAGCGGCCCCCTGGCCTGGAGTTCGCTGGCCTCACTCACCCCATTGTGTTGAAGTCATCATCTGGAGGCACATAATCCTCATCGTCGCTCGTCAGACCCAGCTCGTTCCCGTAACACTGGTGGACAAAGTGCCAGAGCTCCTTGGGGCACAGCGGCTGCAGGAGAGAAAAGCAATGGCTCTGATTGTCCCCTCTCAGGTCTTCTTGATCTGCACAGAGATGCTGAGCCAGGCTGGGAGTAGAAGTACTCACCCTGGCTAAACGAGAGTGGAACAGCTACCCCTAGAACCTCCTCCTCTGTCTAGGACTAAGACTTACAGCCAAGCCAGGAACGTGGCCCCTCTCTGTCTATTCTTTCAAGAGAGCTTTGCAGAAGCTTCTCCCTAACTCCTGCTCTTCCTCCCCCAGAGAGTAGTCTTTCCAGGCCTCTGCTCTGCTTCTTCCCTTTGCTGTGTCCCCCTAGCCACTGTGTGGAACAGTGACAATAGTGGCATCACCTAACTTCTGTGAACACCTACATGACTGTCTCTAAAATGCTTTGAGGGATTTCCCTAGATTTGTGGCACCTCCAGATAAGGTAGAAAGTAAAAGTCAGGGGCTGATGCCAATGGTGGCTGCAAAGGTGATGGTTGTTTGTTGAGGGAAGGCTGCAGTAGGACCCTGGTGTGTCCCCTGGAAGACCAGCAACTTTCATTGTAAGGAGATTTTCCTCTTAGGTGGACAGTGCAAAGAAGTTTATTAGGATCCAGAGTTTGGGCAGTACCACCTAGGAGTACGTAGGTCCAGAGTTTCATTCTGCTCAGCATTTGGAAACTGAAATGTATGCTCTTAGGGAAGGCAACTTGTTCACCTTGCACTCCCAGAATGAAGGCTAATGCTACGTGTAACAAACCTATGTTACACCGGGGTCAGGATGATCTCACAGCTTGTGTCTGTGACACTAAGCACTCAGAGGCTCCTGATCTGGTTTTCCATGGCCCACAGAAGTCTTCCACATTAATGACATCCCTACAGATCCTCAGGAGTGACATCAAAAACAGCCCATTCCACATTTGGAGACTTGCTCTGGCTAGAAGTCCTACACTCTCATAGTGTAAAGGTCCTCAAAGGTCATCTCACCCGAGTCTCTCTTCACTACTTTTCTCTTTTCTGAAGTGCGGTGAGTGGGCCTACAGTCCTATGCATTAGTTCCAGTGTCTTCTTATGCCACTAGGTGCTTGCCTTAAAAGCACCACTCGAAGTCAGAGCTTCCCCAGAGAGCCAAAGGAACATCAGGTAACTATGATCAGAGGTGGAGACCACGAATATGTCTCAGATTTGAAGGAAGGGCAGAACAAATATGTGAAAAACAGGGTGAGAGAATTAAGAGAAAACAACAACCACCAATAACTAAAATTCAAACTTTAAGACAGTTTGTATCAATAAACTTCACAAAGAATCTGAGAGCTCCCTAAGCCTACCTTATGAGGGTATGGCTTACAGCACAGGCAACTGGCCCAATACCATGGGCCAGCATTGTTTTCCAACACAAGAGAATCATGTAGATAGAATGGCACTTGGGGAGCTTGTGTCTTGACTAGGAGGATTTGGGGGAGGGGGAGCAGCTGTCTGTCACCCAATGGAGACACTCTGTTCTCCTTTACTTGGACCTCTTTCGCCCATTTCTGGCCACCAGGGACACCTTTCATCTTGCCTGGGCCACATCTGCTTCTTGCCAAGCTACATCCCAGCCTGCTGCACTGGCTGTCTTCTCTGTGACGCCTCCTCTGGTCACTTCTGCCTGGCTCTGGGTCTGCCCACGGGGAGGACATGCACACTGGCCAGTCCACCTCATCAGAGAGAATTCTTTACTATTTTGTGAGGCATTCAGGAGCCATGTGGATGACCTTGTGCCTTACTTAGAAATGACAGCAGCTGTGTACTAAAAATTCACATCTACCAGTAGAGACTCAAGCACATCACCATTTCATTATTAATAAAGGCGTGTAAAGGCATGGCTTAGCTCAGAGAAGCTCTCGAGATTTATGCGGGCGCTATACACTCAGATTGGCAAAAGTCTAAACAGAAAAGAACGATGCATACAGGTCAATCATGTTTACATACTAACTTCATGAGGGAATCATATGAGTAACTTTCCCCTTCATGTCTTCTTTTCTGGCTTGAGGAGTGTCCCGTCAGAGGGCGAACTCTCTGAAGGTAGAGGCCATGACAAATGCATCATCCCCGTCTCTTCCCAGTGTAACCCCAATGCTCTAGTGAGCCATGGCTGGCTACCTTAACTAAATTTTCTTATTTTCCATATGGTGCCCGGGGCCTTACTGAAGGGGGTAGAACCCCCAGCAGGGAAATTCTTAGTGACAGAAAACAACTCACTCACAGGCAAACCACCTAGCCAAACGCTACGCCTCCCAGTTCCTTTGTTACGTAGCTTGACCAGACTCCCCTGCCTGCCCTCAGTACTTCAAGGCCAGGAACTGGCAACCGGACACAGCCATGGCCCCAGAAGCCTGCCGAAGTGGTTCAATGCCAGGCAACCCTAACCCTGCAGGGCCTGCTTCCCCTGCCTGGGCAAAGCCCTCCTCACTCCCTCCACCTCGTGACCACGACTGGTGCGTCCCTATGTGGACAGGCACGGCGTGCTGCTCTAGTCTGCAAGTCTGAAAACTCCTCCTCTTGTGACCTTCACTTCTGCATGTTTCCCCCCAACTGGTTAAAACAAATCCTTGTATATTTTAAAAGGGTGGAGCTGAAGTGGCTGGAGCCACAAGAGCCTTCCCCCTGGCAGCGTGCACTCGGGTCGCTGCTTCCAGTGGGAGGACGCGTTCCTGGCCAGCTGAGGCATCTCCACACTGTGCGAGGCGTGGACTCCTCTGGAGCAGCCAAAGCTCCCGTAAAGGCAATCTTCCTTCGGGCAGGGACAACAGCCAAGTGGCAAGAGCACCACAGAGGATGCACTCCGAGGCTGAAGGGCACCACAGCGCAGCACTGACCTTCTCAAGGAGAGCGTTCTGCCAGAGCCGGAACATCATCATGTACGTCCTGTCCCGGGCCCCAAACGAAGTGAAAAAGTGCTAGAACGGGAAGGAAAAGGGCTGGATGTAACTGCTGAGACTCACAACGTGAAGAATGGAAATACGCTCCTCTTTTTTTTAATTCAAGACACTGACATCATCCTCGGGTACAGTTCTGATGACTCTCAGGGACCTGTGATCACCAAAAGGCACCCACTTTAATGACGGGAGACTTAGGACATAAGGGTTCAAGGAAGCTGGGACCTGCAAGTCCCTTCTGTAACCAAGTCCTTCCATTTCTTAACCACATCTGTTCAGTGCTTTCCTCTCTGAGTTATAATTTTTGTCTCCATGAAAACATGCCTTTCCCCACAGAGGGGAACTGGGTCAGGGAGCTGGGAAGGAGCTTAAGCAGAAAGATAAGCCAAACCCAACGGCCATCGTAATTAATTCAACTAGCAGGTGAACATCAGAATGCATGTGTCTGCATGTTCAGAGCACAACAAGGTGTCAAACAGAAACGGACTGTTTTTGTGGAGCTTACGGATTAGTAGAGGTGAGAAAGTGGCGTTCACTGCAGACCCACTAGGCACTTGACAAATGTTTTCATTTAAAGTAAAAAAACAAACAAACAAACAAAAAATCCTCAAATGATAACAGCAAGGCTGCTAACAATGAATAGCATCAGGCAAGGTTAGACAACCTGGGTGATCACAAAGCTGATGGTTCCAGAAGCAGAATTCAAACAAAGGATGACCTTGCTCCAAGATCTCGGGACTCTTGCCTGTGCATTGCATCTAATGGTCCTCAGACTCTGACCAAAGGACTGAGGTCAAAAGTCACTGATTTCCCATCATAAATTTTATATACCACATTCTCGTCGTACCACGAGGGACAGCCCATATTCAGACAGGCTCCTTGTCCTCTTGAGACACGATAAGCTATCTTGCTAAGTAATGATGACTACATTTGGCTAGTGCTTCACAATGTAGCATTTTCAAACAGGTGACAGTACCACAAGGCTCTATTCTAACAGATACTGTCAGGTCATATCACACATGAGAAAAATCAAGGTTCAGGGAGGTTAATTAAGGCACCTACAAAGCATTCAGAGAGGTTAATTAAGGCACCGCCTGCTTCTAGCTGCAGGGTGCTGCCAAGCCACCCTCACCCCTGCTCAGCCACCAACCACTCTGCCCATACAGGAAGTGATGCCTTGAGTTACATTACCCTTATTACCCCTCACCCCAATTCTGTTAGCTTCCAGGTTAAGGAGATTCACGGGCAGGAACACAGGAGCAAGGCAAGTAGCGTAAGGAGCCCGGACTGGGAGGGGCCTGAGAGGCCAGGCTTCCACTCCGCTTACCTTTTCTGAATCAGTGCAAACTTGGATGGCATTGGGGATGAGGCGAGCTGTTTTCTCTTTAGTCATGGAGCAGATGTCTTTCAAACGGACTGTCAACTGGCACCACCACAGGGACAGGGAGTGGACAGCAATAGGCAGGAGGGGGCATTAGAAGAAGGAAAGAGCACTCATGCGGCATCAGTTCAAACAGGCCACAGTTCCTAGAGTTCTAACCTTGGAAGAGACCTCCTTAGAGAGCCCATTTTTATCCGTTTATGTAACGGAGGCCACAGTGTGACATAGGGACCGAGTCCGTCCACAGTCCTATCTCAATTCTTGTTCTAAGAGGCTTTCTCTCTTATTTCTACACTGCTGAATGTGCACATGCCTTGCAGTGTTTCACCACTTACAAAAATAACTAGTGTTGGACAGAACCACACACACACACACACACAAAATAAAAAAAAAATTACATAGTTGACCTTTCTGTACCTCGTTTTATTAATTTTTTAAAATGTATTTGGTACAGGGTCTGACTATACAGCTGGGACTCATAGTGATCCTCCTGATTTCAGACTCCACAGTGATGGGATTACAGGTGTGCACCACCATGCCCGGTCTCGGTGGCCAACTCAGCATGCCCGGGGGTGGGGCTGGTGCGGAATGTGGCGCCGGGATCAAACCAGGTCCCTGCATTTGCCTAAGCAGGTGCTTAGTCTGCCGAGCTATCTCACCAGCCTCTCTGCCTTATTTTATAAGGTACAAAAACAGGCAAAGAAAGAACTGACCTAAAATCACACATGTAAGTAACGGCAGAAGACAATGTGTGAGCCAGTTCTGAGGCTCAAAGCCAGTGCCCTTTCTGCTTTGTTATGTCTCCCCCTGTGGCAACTCATGCCAGCTCATTTGCATTTTCCAAAAGCAAACGCCCTTTGTGTTTTCTTCTATACCTAGGGGCTGGGAAGGAAATTCATGGCAGACAACATCCTATTACTGGGACTCGGAAGTGGGCACTCCTTAGCCTAGGCATCGGCTTCTGTTCACTATGCAAAGGATTGGGGAGAACGCAGTCAGTGAGTGGCACAAAGACGGTGTTCTGCTCAGTCAGGGCCAAAAGGGTAGCCCTAGGAAGTCAGTCCCAGGGCTTTTACGTGGCGTCAGGGTACTGGAAACGGAGCCGAGGGCAACCTTGCATATGCTGGGCAAACACTACACCACTGAGCCACAGCCCCAACCCAAGTCCTAGTTCTTTACCAGAGTTTCCCAGCGGAAGATGTTGCTGTAGAAGCAGATCCAATTTTCTGAGAGGTAGAGTCGGCCCTGAAGAAGAATATCTCTTTGGAGTGCACATGAATAATCTGTGATATGAAGTAAGACAAGGAAGCTCAGGGACAGGAAGCATTCTTATCAAGATGTTGCACAGTGGGCATCCCTCCCACTAGCAGAGGGGAAGCCAAACCGCCCGCCACCACCTGAAGTAGTGAACCAGCAAGTGCCTGGCATCTCATGATCTGAATGGAGAAGTGGTACAACTTTCTTCCCTGAATCTATGACCTCAAATCCCTTCTAAGCATTGGCCATCTTCAGAGATAAGTAACTCCTGCCTGGGAAGGTCAGGGGGCTGCTGTATGCAGGATGCTCAGTTCCCAGCCCTGAGTGGGGCCATGCTCTGGGCACTGTCCTTCCCTGTTCTAGACAAATGCACTCACTCGGTTTGGTTCCCTGCCTCTGTGCGCAGGCAGCCTGAGAACCCTCCCTGGACTCTCAGATGTCCTCCCTGCCCAATTCCCAGATCAACTCACTCACCAACAATGAGGCGCTCCGTATCTGGAAGTTGCTTAAAAAGCTTTCTGAAGTCTTCATTTCTCTGCTTGTAAGTGGGGCTTAACACCTGCAGGATAAAGATGGAAGTCAGCAAAATGTACACAGGTTCATATGGCATTAGGAAGGTAGGCACCAGAGGAGCGTGTGCTTGTGTGTTAGAAAGGCAATGATGAGGCTTTGTTACCCCACGATCCTAGGAGGCCAGGTTAGGCAAGGGAGCTGGGGATGGAAAAGCAGTACAGAAAATCCATCTGGTAAAACTCTTGTATCCAGCAGCCATCAATAAGAAAACATTAAAATATGAAGCCAGGTCCCATCAAGGCTCCAAAAAGACAGGAAGGATGGATACCTACAGGACACTTCCCGGGAGTCAGCGCGTCCGCTGTTGCTACTCTGCCTCAGCTTTCCTGACAGGGCAGTGGGGGCACCATGGGACAAACTCAGTCCCCAGCAGGAGCCATGAGAGCACGAGACCCAGAACACCTCGTGGAAGTTGTCATGGAGAACTCAGTGAGCGCCTGACTATGTGCAAAAGACTTGAGTTTAAAAAAAAAAATTTCTTTAAAAATGATAAAATCAGTGCTAGGAAAAGCACATGGGGTAGAAAATTTAAAAGAACAAAAGCCAATTATCATGCCTCTTTGTCCTTACAGAATGATCTTCCAGCCCTCACTGAACCAAGGAGGAAACGCATGAGACAAAGGGAAGCCCCAGCCTCCAGGTCACCAACTGTTCATCACTGGACGGTCGCTCAGGTAAGGAGCTCCGTGATGGCAGAAGCCCTAGGATGCAAATACAGGACAGGGGGCCTGGAAGGGAGGCCCAGCGCAGAGCTCCTTGTCCTGTGGCAGGATTGAGCACCTTCCTCCCTGGTCCTACGCTCATCTTCCACCACCACCTGAGCCACAGAAGCCCAATCTGCTGCTGCCCTGGGGCCTTGGCTGCCTCAGCACATCCTTGGAAATCCCGTCAGCCAGCAATATGGACAGGAATACCACCCTTGTGTGTGTGTGTGTATGTCTGTGTGTGTGTGTGTGTGTGTGTGTGTGTGTGTGTGTGTGTGTTACTGGGGCTTGAACCCAAGGCCTTCACACTAAGTTGTATCCCCAGCTTGTTTTTTATTTGTGACTGAGACAGAACGTTGCTAAGCGCCCAGGTTAGGGTCAAATTTTCAATCCTCCTGCCTCGGAGTGCTGGGTACAATCTCTAAACTGAAAGACTAAACATAAAAAAGATCTACTCACATAGTGAAAGGATCCCCAAGGCTTACACACAACAAGCACAACCTGGGGAGACCCACTCGTAGGAACAGAGATGCCTGCCCTCCACCAGCGACACAGACACAGGGCTACTGACTCTCAGCCGGGAGCATGTGCCGAGAGTCACTCTGCTCGCGACACATGGGTCCTGGCCTTTTAGGCTTTCTCACCCACTTCCCTAGAAATCCACTGGCAGCGGCGGGGTGGTGAGGGAGCAGCCGTCTAACTGTTGGTATTTTGGCTTTCTGCAAAGCTAAAGGACTCTCGAAGAATCGGAAGTTGATGTTTTAATATGTCTGCACCATGCACTGCCCATCAGAACTACTACAGAGAAGAGGACGTCAGGGGCCATATAAAAGGGAATGGCTCAAGTTTAGAATGGTTTGCCAGGGAGAAGAGAAGAGAGAAAGGAAAAGGAGAGGGAGGCCAGAAACTTGCTTTTCATCTCCTTATCCATTTGAATTTCAAGCTTTTGCTCTTGTCTTATTTACAAAAGGAGTTCCTCTAGCAACAGTTGATGCCTGTTCTCTGCCTCAAAACAGTGCTAAATCCTAAACTTCCCAAATCACCTGCCTTGTATCTGAACCAGGCATCAGGATCCCTAGAGGTCAATATTTGGGAGGCCACCCATCCAGTGACTTCTAGGACTGGAAAAGACCTCAGATACAAGAGTCCTCTCACCCTTGCATTAGTTTCAGCTGGTACCAAGCTATGCAGTCTAAATAGCACCCTGGTCTCTTAGCACAGAGTCCACTCTGGGGAAACCCTTGTGTGACTGCCTGGCCACCAAACCTAGGCATGATCACATGGATCATCTCCTCTGACTTGTGACCCACTGAGGTAACCAAGGCACCAAGAGGTCAGTGGCCTTCCTGAGCGCATAATTACCAGCAGGCACAGAACACAAACCCTGTCAATGTACCAGGAAGGGCACAACAGGCTTTCCCACAATAGGACACAGTCTCTCAGAAGACAGGGTTTACCTGTGCCGGGCCCCTGCCGGTTGTCCGTGCTCCTCAGTGGCGCTTTATGAAATCCCAGTGTCAGCACGAGGAGCAGCCTACCAGGTGGCCCCACGCTCCAGGTGAAACTAGATATCAGGCATCCGGTTACCTAAAGCCTGCACCTTCTCTTATTACTGTATGTGTGTATGTGTATCAGGATTCAACCCAGGGCCTTCTCACCAAGCTACATCCCCAGCCCTTTTTATTTTTTATTAGAGGCAGTCTTTCCAAGTTTCCCAAGCTGTTCTAACTTGTGATCATCTCGCTTCGGCTTCCCAGAGTTCTGGGACTACAGGCACACGCCGCCTCACCCAGCTACATCCTCCTAGTGCTAATTTTCTTCCACACTGCTCTCCCCGCTTGCTTCTCTCATATCCAGTCAGGTATCTAGCAAGATGGAGATGCAAGAAGTCTGGCCACAGTCTCCCAACAGTGAGCAGACTGAGGGTGCTTCTCTTCTCTCTCTGCTTGAAAAAAAGCTGTAGTCACAGGGAGAGAGCAAGGCAGAACTCGCCGAAGTCTCTTACTCCAGGTTTACATACGTACTCCCTTATTCTACTCTGCTAGATGGCAGGCAGCCTCCGCCTCCTGGAACCCGAAGCACAGCGACACATCAGTTGGGCACGCTCAGTCGAGAGCCCTGTGCCTGCCGGATGCTGGGACCCGGGCCCCCCACCCCGTGCTCTCTTAAATGAAACTCCGTGAGGCATGGTGAAGCAGGCTGGCCTATGTAAAATGGCCAAAGACCTCTGGTTCAAAGGTTGTCCAAGGTGGGTCCCTTGGGTAGCACAGCCAAGTGGAGCATGCAAAGATGCACAACATGGTCAAAGATACAGAGAAACTGGGTCACACACTCACAGCTGGGATGTCCTCAGATCCGTGCCAGCAACAGTGTCCGGCACCCACAGGAACATCAGTAACCCTCTCCACGAGGCACCGCAGGGCCTGGTTTTCCTGCTCCAGCAGGAGGCTCCAGAGGACCCCAGATTCCATCAAAGATTCCATTGCCCCCCACGGCTGCGCTTCCCACAGTACTACAGCTCTTGTACTCTGTCTCCTGATGGTGCCTGCAGGATGCAAACAATAGGCCCTGTCTGGGCCAGAATAGCGAAGCAACCCCTGGCTTCTGGATGCAGGGTCTGTGCAACCCTCGCTGATGGCCTTCTTTCTCCCACAGCTGGGCTGTCAAGTGACACACCTCACAAATCAGAGTATGTCATGAGCACCGTCTTGGGAGATTCGAGCCAGCTGAGTCTCACAGCAGGGGGCTGCTTCCTCTTTCTTGCTGGTCTTCAGGCTGAAGGCAGCGCCACCTGGTCAGTGCAGACCTCACTCTGAAAGTTCAGCTGAGATCCAAAGACAGGAACACAGCGAGCGAGCAGCACCGTCAGAGGCTTCCGCAGGGCAGCCCCTGAGTGCCCAGACAAACTTCACAGGAAGAAAAGGCACCACACTGGGTCCAGAGGTCTACAGTCGCTGGCGACGACAGAGTGACTCATAGTTAGGGGGAAGCTCCAAAGAGGCAGCTGGAGTCCCCACTCTGCAGCTCTGATCTGTCCCATGCACTTAATCAACGTGAAATATCTTCTCTGGGCAGTCAAGGCTGCTGTGACTCATAGCCCTCGCCCAGGCAAAGTGGTCACTTAGCTGAGTACAGGGCCCGTTCTTGTGCACACCCCTGCACACACCCCTTTTCGACCAGATCCTGCTCCTTTCAGCTGCCCAGCAAACAACCTCTTTGTTAAAAGTCACCGTGGCGGGAGGGAGCAGGAGAGGGAGGGAGGCAAGGCGGTGGGTGGGCAGGGCCTGAGCCCTGACATGCTTCAAGTTACAGGATCTGGGTGATGGTCCTGGCCAATGTCCTGCAGTAACCCCTGGCCTCCCCAGCAGATGTTTCCTGCAATGGAAAGTTGTTGGGCAGGGCTCCGAGTGGGGGAAGGGTAGGGGGGTTTCAAGGGCACCTCTGCTGTGATGAAATCTGAAATTCGAGACTCAAGCTGCCAGGGACTTCTTGAAGACATCCTCTCCCCTCACCGGCCCATCCATCCACCAGATTTGGACATTTCACAGCCGATCTAGTCTCAGCTGTGCTGACTGGGGAGAAGCCAGACAGATCACTCAGAGAAGGGGAGGTCAACAGCACTGGGGTCTGTCTGAAGCTCTCCCTTCCTTTCCAAAGACCCTGCTCCAGCTTTGGCACTCGCAGGAGGAGAATCAAGGCCAAGTAGATTCCCAGACCTTGAGGGCAAACTAGCAATGCTGAGGGTTGAGAACTTGGTCCCTTGTCAAACACAGGCAACCAAATACAGGGAGAAGTGGAAGCAGGTCCCTGAGAGCAAGAAAGGGTCAGGCAGAGAAGCTCAAGACAGAGATGAGAGAGGAGGGGGCTACAGTGATGGGGACCCTCAGGAATGTCAACGCCTTGCTTCAATGGGGCAGATCTTTCACCCTTCAGCGAGGCCACCACCCTGTAAGACTATTTGGTCTGGAGTCAACAAAGAAGAGTGTCTCTGTCCTAGAGGGCTCCATAAATCAGCAGAGCAGCACTCAAACTTCACCATACTTTAAAAAGAACAGAGTCAAGAGTGCAGATTCTAAGCTTCCAGATCCAAAGAGGCCAACCAAGAGGAACCTGGGTTCTCCCAAGTAAAGTAGAACTGTATCCTTCTCCAAATGTATTCTTCACAGCCCCTGCTGCCCCTCTCAAGAGACCCCGTGGCCACCACCTCCACCCATCACGTTGGCTCATGTGCTTGCTTAGACCACCATCTTCCCCAGGGAGGATCTGTTTCCCTTTTTTACAT